ATATCCATGTTCTGTTAGGAGAGTCTTCATCTTTCTGGGTCTGCTGACTTTCCCACCCATCTCAGTTTTACCTCCTTGAGCCTTGGCTTTATACCAATGCCCATATCCAAGATGGCAGTGCTTAAAAGCTGTGATTTTTCAGCCAAATTAAGTGTTTGTGCTCCACTGATCCCACGTGCCTTCCATTGCCAGTAGGGTTTTGCTGTAATTTGCCTTCTTCATGTAACTGTATTTCAGGTATGTGTAGGAGTGACATTATTTAAGTTCATGTGAAATGTAAATAAGTCAGACACAGCTGAAAATGTGTTTCCTCTGCCATCCCTATATTGTAGAACATAGTGTCACTTCATATTACTTTTCATTATGATAATCTTATTTTAAAGCTGACAGTCATGATTTAATATCCTTGAAAAAGCTTAAAAGTGAGAAGTGTGCTCCAGCTACTTTTAGCAGTCTTAAGGAACCCCCTTTCCCAGCATTTGTATTGTCATCATTCGGATTATGAGAGAATCCATACAGCTCCTGTGCCTTTATAAATAAAACACACTAGGCAGGGAGCCTGGCATCACTTACTGAGATGGAACCACAATGATATAAGGAATATATTTCTACCCACCATGAGTTTTGTTACTAATCTGATGCCATCACATTGCAAGATCTGGCTCTCACAGAAAAAAAAATCTAAATCTGTATCTTTGTCATGTATTAATTATATTCACCCTCTATCCAACAAACCAGTGGTCATAACAAAATTCACCTACAAAAAGCAAAACATATTCAGAACAAGCCATCAAAAAAGCATTTATCCTAAGCCACATTCAGAGCACTCAATGTAAAATAACTTCCAAATAACCTCCTTTGATGTGTCTGTAACTCTTACACAAGAAATTGCAAACTAGAACTGCAGCAATATATGCATTTTTCATCTCAGGTAATGGAAAATTATTGTTTTATGGGTCACTCACCAGCACTTGTTTCTTTGTGCCCAGCATCATAGAATTGTTTCAGTGGGGAGACTGAGTAATGTGAGTTCCAGCTGAGAGTGATTCAGATATGGGCACTGCCAGCTCCTGCCAAGGCAGGAGGAACCAAAATGCAGGAGAGCAAACACCTGATTTCCTGCCATTTACCCTCAGGTGTGACAACCCTTCCTTAGCACAGGCACAAAGCCACACCCCACTCCTCTGCTCTCTCTTTTTGCTCTGAGGGTTACAGAGGCAGAGGAATCAGGAGGCATGGCTGGGATCACTCCTCATGGTTCACTCTCCACCTGCCATTAAAACCAAGCAGGAAGGCCAGACAATCCTTACTCTGAGCCAGGAAAATCAAAAATTACAGACAGTACTGCCCTGGTGTTGGTAGCTGCAGAGATCTACATTTACTCTTGGTTACTAAGAAACATGACAAAAGGCCAGTAATCTAGAAAAAACTGTAAACAGATCAGCTCTCAATGGCTATTCTTTTGATAACACTTGATACACTCCTATGAATGACAGAAGATATTTACTTTCTGAAGTGGATCACTCTCACACAGCCCATTTCTTGAAATGCCGATTCCATTTAGGGGAAGACACAATGTCTGTGCTCAGAAACAATTCTGCTTCAAATTAACTGAAAAGGCTTTCAACTTATCAGGGCACTAATGAATTGTAACCACAGAGAAAATGCAGTTATACACACATCCACATTCCCTCTCACACGCCCAAAAAACCCCAAACAACCCTCAGACCCTAGAACATGTACCACACTTGGAGGATCATCCTCAGGTTTGATTTGTTTGGGGTGATATACTAATATACCTGCTCTGCTTTAATTAATGTACACTGTCACAACAGTATCCAAACACCTTCCCACACAAAAACCTCCCCTGAGGGTCCTGAGGACTACAAGATAATGTGTTTTCCTGGCTTAGCTACTGAGAGTTGTGATGGTTCACATTGCAAAGATTGGACAAATAGAAAGAAACAATCTGCACACTTCATATTTGCTTTGCTTGGACATTTTGGTTTAGAACAATCTTCTTCACCCTGTGTATGTAGCTGCAGCTTCTACATAACAACCTGCATCTGGTTGGATTAATGATTAAACTTTCATGTAGATTTATATTTTATATACCCTAAACAAACCAAAGTGTGCTGTTTGGTGAGAGCAGGATGGTGATCCCACTGCAGATGAAGTGGAATGGGATGGCAAAGAAACAGGGAACAGCCTCAGCACAGAAACCCAGTTAGAGTGAATTAAAGAACATAACTGATGTCCTCCACAGCTAGAAAACTGGGGGACCTGAAAACATTAATTCACTCAGAAGCAGCTCCACAAGATGAAGCCACGTGGGGACTGTGGCCACAGTTGAATTCTTTGTCATTGAATTCCCCTTAGACACTAACATGTCATTTTCATGGTAACTGAACTGCTCTGCAAAGGAATAGTTGTAGCTGGAAATGAAGGGACGAGGGGGGAATTAATGTCAGTGAAACAGGAGAAAAACCCTGATTTTCAGGTTCACCAAGAGGCTTTGGAGCTCTCTCTGGCTTTCATGATAACAGGAACCACTTTCCTAGGTGAAGAATAGTTATTTCTTTGGATTGAGCATTAGGGTTTAATGAAATACAAATAAGAAAACTAAGTAAAATGAATTTTTTTTTTTTTTTTACATTTGGAATATTTCTTTCAGGCCATTTTTCTGTCAAAGAAAATCTGTGTAGGTGGAGAATGCACTTCTCAGCTCCTTTAGGAATGCTGACGTGTTCCCATGCTAAGGCACTAACTTTCCCAAGTAGAAACTGAGAAAAACTGTACACTCAATTCCTCTCTAATTAAGACAGCTCACACCAGTTGTTACTGCATGCAATCATTTGTAATATTTAAGAAACCAAACAGTATATTTCGATACTTGATGGTCAGAGTTGTATTTCGATTTGATTATGACAAATGAGCCACAGGAACTAAGGGCCTTCACTAATAAACACTCTCTTAACACACTTATTTTTGGAACAAGCTGCTCTTTTTCCATTGTACTGTGCTAGAATTTTTCTCTGTAAAATTCTATTTTACATGCAGTGTAAAAATAAAAGGCTGAATCACATTCCAGAGATCCCTTTCACATTCAGGATAGCTGTCCTTCAACCAGAAAAATCTGCTTTGGACTAATCCATTAATATTTATTGATGCACACTACTTACATAAAGTCCCATAAAGTTAGGGAAATTCTAGGAATGGGAAATAATTTTTCCATGCAGTTTCATCAGAAAGATTTCAAGAAATTCCAGCTTTTAAAGATTACAAGAGCGCTGTGTTTAATGTTGATGAGAAAACATAGTTCACTTAATCTATCAAACTCATCCTTTAATAATTTATCTGAGCATTTTTTTGTAGTTGTGTTACTCTGCACAAGGACAAGAATTTGTACTCCTGTTTTACTGCTTTGCAGCTGTATAAATTCAGGTGGATATTTGTATGTTTTGAAAAGAGTTTTCATTTCCTTCTCCTTAAGAGATCACAGCTGCTTCACTCACTGTGATTTAAAAGGATTTCTAGTAACAGATGACAGTATATTAGCAATTATCAAATCACCTTAAAACTTGCTTTTTAGACATAACTAAATTAATTTGCTGTATGGACAACCAATGTACAGAAAACAAGAGGGAATGGATTTATTGGCACTTCTTTCAGATGACTTTCAAGACTACAAAACCACAGAGAAATAGTCACCCTAAATGCATGCTAATAAAACTTCACACCAACACTCATGATTGATACTCTTTGTCTCCCCAAATTGATCCAACCAATCAAGAAAGAAAAAGAACTTTCAATGAAAGCATAAAATATATTCACTGAAATTCCCAAGCTAAACTGTATGCTGCAGACTCATACTGAACATTACATTATGCTCCTCAAACCCCTCAGGCCAAGCCCTGCATTCCCTGAGCAGTTTTGTCACACAGCTCCTCCTCTGCCTTCAGTGCTCCAGTAACTTCTGTGACATTGCCACCACCTTCACCCCACCACCATTAATCCCTGCTCTCCCTGTGTTTTTCCCTGAGATCAGACTCTGAGGAACAAGTGAGACCTGAGTTACACCTGGGTGAGGAGATACTCAGAATTCACAGAATCACAGAATCCAGAGAATCCATAGAATCACTGGGTTGGAAGAGATCTTCAAGATCAGGAGTCCAACCCAGCCCCAGCACCCCAACTAAACCCCGGCACCCAGTGCCACATCCAGGCTTTGTTAAACACACCCAGGGATGGTGACTGCACCACCTCCCCGGGCAGCCATTCCAGAACTTTATCACTCTTTCTGTGAAAAACTTTTTCCTAATATCCACCCTATATTTCCCTTGGTGCAGCTTGAGGCTGTGACCTCTGGTTCTGTCATTGCTGCCTGGAGAAAGAGCCCAACCCCAGCTGAGCACAGGCACCTTTCAGGGGGCTGTAGAGAGTGATAAGGTCACCTCTGAGTCTCCTTTTCTCCAGGCTGAGCACCCCCAGCTCCCTCAGCTGTTCCTCACAGGGTTTGTGTTCCCAGCCCCTCTCCAGCCCCGTTTCCTCCTCTGGACGTGCTCAGTGTCCCAAGGTCCTTCCCAAACTGAGGGGCCAGAACTGGACACAGCACTCAAGGTGTGCCCTCACCAGTGGCACAGGGGAAGAATGACCTCCCTGCTCCTGCTGGCCACACCATTCCTGGCACAGAAGGCCTGGGATGGTCCCCTCTGCAAATACAACCAGAGAATTACTCCAGGTTGGAAAAAGTCCCTGCAACATTGATCCCAAGCATTCCCCAGCAGAGCCAAGCCCACCTTGTCCATGGTCCCAGGTGCCACATCCACACAGCTTTAAATCCCTCCAGGATGGGCACTCCCCAGCACTGCCTGGGCAGCTGTGCCAGTGCTGCACAACCCTTCCCATGGAGTCATTTTCCCCAGTCCCCAGTCTAAGCCTCCGCTGGAGCAAGCTGAGGTGATTTCCCAAGCCAGGGGTTGCTGTGCAGAGTCACATACCTGTATGGGGCTCAATAGAAAAGTAAGGCTGTCCTTCCAGAATGCTATAAACCAGCTTGGCACTATTTCCATACACTGGATCATCTGCATCTGTAGCTGTTACTTTAGTAACAAAGGTGCCTAAATAGAAAGAATACACACAATTAATGTTTACACTCACTAGAAATTTGCATATCTTATTCAAAAACTAATTTGAAACAAAAATTCATTTCCTTGGGAGCTGTATAACAATAATAAAAGAAGGAAAAATATCAGTAACAAGTTAATATATTACTTGTGGAACAGAAACAAAACATTTTCCTTCAAGCTGATGTGTGCCAGCAGCCTGAATTTCTGGGCAAAATAAAAACCCTTTCAGTATCAGTATTATTTAAAGTTTCTTTGTAGAATGCATTTAAAGCTACCCAATAGATCTGTGTAGTCTTCAAGCATTTGCAAAGGAATCATATCAAAGGGATACAAAACACAAGGTTAATAATACAGTATAATATGTTGCATTTAAGACTTGCAAATTCACATTCAAAAGAACTTTGCCAAGTTACAGAGACCAGATAGAAAAACAATAATAAAAAGGGTTCTTTTTTCTTCCCTTGGCTTGCAGCCATGATAATGATTTGATGTGGCCACAGTGACAGAGTTGGGACAACAACAATTGTCTCTGAAATGAGTCTCTGCCACTCAGGGGGCCATTGTTCAGCCAGAGTTATAAATTCCATACTCTGACAAAAATAAATAGGAAAAAAGAAAGGAAATTACCCTTTTTATTTCTTAGACAACATAGCACTTGCCATTTCTGTAAGAAGCAAAATGGAATGAAATTCAGTTGGTTGCATTAAGGTTGCTGCAGAGAGGGTTTTTTTTGGCTGACATTAAAGTATGATGGTGTTAATTAGGCTGACAATAAAGACAATATCTACAGAGGGAGAGAAAGCAAGAGAAGAAGAAAGGTTAAGGGTTGAATTATGTTCAGAAAGGAAAATAATTACAGCACCCACCAAAAATCACCCTTTCTGGATATGCTAATAAAAATAGCCTCCAGCTCCTTCTCTGTGTGTGCTGTGAATCCTGATCCCATGGCCCTTCAGGACAGCAGAGCAGACGGAAGGAGATCCCTTTGCACAGCCCTGTTCTCCCTTTTCCTCTCTTCCTGCATGGCAGTTTTGTGGGTTACAGCACATGTAAATTATTTAGAGAAATGTTCGTATATCCAGATAAAATTTGCATATGACCCAAGAGCTGCCATTTCCCACCTGGGCACTTCAAACACCAGGGCAAGCTGTGGGGCTGGCTTTGGGAGGGCAGGGCTTGGGAGGATGGAGAACACCTCTCTTAGGGAGCACAGGCTCTGCAGGGACTGAAGCTGTGGCAGGTTTGCCACGTGGAACTAATGGGATAATTCTTGGTGAAGGGAATGTGGGTTGCAGAAATACATCTCACCAGAGAAAAAAATGGTTTTGGCTGGTATTGGTCATTTATTTCTGGTGTAAATGTACCCATTCTTACAGGGGAGAATATCAGCAAAGGGAGGCAGAGGATAAGTGTTCCCCCAGCATCTCTCCTGGGCTCAGCAGGAGCCAGAGGAGTCCTGCAGCTGTGCACATCCCATGGAAAAGGAATATTATGTCACATCTCTCCTTGACAGATGCTTGCTGAACCTGTTTTATAAATATGCAAACTGTGCATGTTTGAAGCTTAACTGTATTTGATGCTGAAAGGTGATCTTAACACCTAACCTTTAACAGAATAGTTTTTAACCTGTCATGGGGGCCTGAGATATGGAGTTTGTCCTCCCCTTGGTGGTTAGTTTGTGAGGAATTAACATCAGAAATGTATTGTCTGCCCAGTGACAGCAACCAGACAGTAACAGACAACTCCTGACATCTGTGAGTGGAAATGATAAAGGGGACAGGTGACACGTGTGGTGCCCAGCCCTGTGGCAAGTCCAGCAGCCTCAGCCTACAGGAGATACCTTCAATGCCCTCCTTCAATAGAGAGAGGAAGAGAGAAGCAGCCCTGGGCACACTGAGAGGCCACAGCATAGGCTGCAGAAAACAGGGAACAACAATGAGGGAGTTTGCAGGAAGCTTGAGTGGGGATGTATCAGGAAGAGAGGGACAGAAGGCACCGTGGTTGCTTGGCCACAGGAGTTACAGGGTTTGAGGAGCTGTAGCGGATGGGATTGTCTCACATGTTTGATGACTTGAGAGGCTGCCCTAGAAGAGAGGCTGGACAGAATTACAGAATAAAGCAGGGATTTACTGAAAGGCCTCAATGGGTGCACATTGGGCAGCACAAGAGCCCAGCCAGGGCTGCACCCAAGATGAACCAAAATGGTCCCAAAATTTACGACCGCTCACAGGGTCTCTCACTGTGATCAGTTCTTCTCCATTTGCATATTGGAGTTAATTGTCCAGTTACAGCTTTAGCCCATGCAGTCCCATCCTGCTTGTTTTTCTCTCTTCAGCCCACATTGTTTATGCTCTTGGGCCTGAGATTTGGATCATTTGTCCTTGGTCCCCAGCTAGAGAAGGAATTGTTTTGTCTCCCTGCTCTGTGCAGAGAGCTCACCATCCCCTAATATGAAACTCAGAGTTACATACTAAAGCAGCACAGAACCTGAAAAACATAAAAGCTAAACCTGAGCTATCATTTCCCTGCTAAAGTTCTGTTGGCTCACCTTTTGTACTCACACCCATTAGCAGGGCTCTGTCTGCTATTCCCACACACAACCATCCCTCAGCCCAGCTGTACTCCCCTCTCTGGAGCTGAGCCCCACCATCCCAGCACATCCCAGCACATCCCAGCACATCTCCCAGGCTCCCTGCAGCTCAAGGCTGCTGTCCCAGGGTGACACCAGCCATGAATGCAGGCTCAGAGCTTCTTTCAGCTGGATTCAGGCTGATTTAGCAGGTGATGTGCTCATTTCTGTGGCTGCTATCATAAAACTGGTGGTTTGTAATCTCCTAAGACAGAAGAGGTTTGTGTAGAACATCATACAGTGGGACAGGGATGGAAAAAGATAAGGCTCATCACAAAGTGAAAAATTTCGTTGGAGTATTTTATTGAGACTGTTTCGTTTTGTTTCCATTATATATTTTATATACAAAGGAAAATAAAGAAATAAAACTGTTGACTTCTTGGAGATTGTGTTTGATTTTCCTAGCTGGCTCTCATTTCAAAGGCCTTCAGAAATAATTACATTGCTTGTTTAGAAAGATTTGATATATAATTTCTATTCTTATCTTACTTCACTTGAGGATTCCTGAAGACTTTCTATAGATATTTATTTCAAGATTTCCAGACTTGAAGGGATGTGCTGATTCTTTGATAAGCACTAAGTGCTCATTAGATACTAAAGTTGAATACACCCTAATAAAAAGAGTTAATCAGTGTCTAACACTGCTTCCAATCATGATGCTAAGCTACCAAGGTTTTCTTCTTGTGATATAAAATAATTCAATCACCTATTGAGACCCCAAGTTCAACTGAAGTTTATAAATGTATTAAAAATACATGGGTAATATGTGTGTCAGTATTTCCAGTTACAGTACACATAAGGCGGGGGGAAAGGCATAATCTTCTTTTTCTTTCCCTTACAGGTCACTTGAAGTGTGATCATAATCTCACCTAATAAAATTAATGAAGGGAATGGACAACTGACATACTCTCCTGCCTCCTAGAAATCCATTTCTTCCCCAGCCAGTTTCTGCCACTCAGCACTTCATTTCCAACCATCACACACTTCTAGGCCTGTCAAATCTAGTAATTTGCTCCCAACAATCTTACTGATGAAAATTGTTTAGGGAAGATGTGAGCGATCATGAAACAGAAATTAAAGAAATTGCTTCCACTGTTGAAATTAGCAAAGCTTTGGCATAGTTTAAATTTTATCACCTTTAATTTGATTTTTTTTTTTTTTTTTTTTTTTTTTTTTTTTTTTTTTTTTTTTTTTTTGCTTTATGCCTTGAGTCAAATTTTCTGCAGGTGTGAAACACACCACTTATGTTGTTCACACTGGCAATAATCAGCATATTTAGGAACAAACCCCGTGCCCTCCACAGCTGCAGGTGGTGTTGCTAAGTCAGTGCTGCCCTGGTTCCCCTGCAATGTGCTGAGAGTTCACCAATCCCACTCCCACAGGTGACAGAACCTGTGCAAAAATAAGGTTTGGAGAACTGAGAGATTCCTGATGGTGAAAAGCAATGCAGAAAAAAAGAAACTCTCAGCCACCATGGCTGTTTTTTAGCCAACCTCCGCACCAGAACTGTTCAAGCTTTGGATTACCAATATTTAAGCAGGATTTTACTCCATTGCTGACACTGCAGTTATAAACTACATGTACATAAATATTTTTACAAGCATAATGTGCTTAAAGTTTTAAAGATAAAAATTTTGCATTGAAAAAGCTGTAAGAATGCAGGGAAGGGCATTTATTAACTAAGTGCTTTTGGAAAAACAACATTCTAGGTTCTGCTCAGCAAATAAACTGCTAAGGTTTCTGTTTGTGTTTAATTTTGACTGCATTTGGCTTGTGTTTGTTGCTTTGTCAATGCTACAACAAACTCATTTAGCCAGAGACTATAAATTTGAAATGGTGCCATTTTTATAAGAAAGCCACTATTGTAGTCCAAGCCACTGTTGTCCTAATTACAATAATATTGAGGTTTTATATAATCTGGCCCAACAACATAATCACTGTTTCTTTTTGCTTTATGTACCTAATGTTGCCTTAGGTAAACCAAAATCTTTTTTTCTTGAGATATGAGGCAAATTTTAAGATGTTCTGTTAAAAAACTTTGTGTGTTTTTCCCTCAGGTACACTTTTGCAATGCTAATGACTCTTAAATATGGATTTACCCACCATAAATATAGACTGCACAGAGATTCAACAGATTTTAATTAATGACCACTTCTAATATGCTTTAACCATTAGCTATTGCTGATTGTTTTACTCTGTAAGTGTCAGGTTGTTTTACTCTGTCTTTACAACAGGCCAGCAATCAGAGACACAATTAACAACAGGACTGTTTTTATATGGCTAGGTGAGAAAACCTGTGTTTGCTGGCAAACTAAGATTAAAAACCATCATAAAAAATGAGATGTGTGTGCCCAGCTAGTGC